TGAAAAATTTAATTTTTTTCTGAAAAAGGTGGTGTCTATTTACTTGTGACCATGATGTGTATGTATTTTGCTTTTTTTAATATTTTAAACAGAATAAGTTAGAAGCATAAATACTGCTTATTCTTAAAAATCCTACATAGATGTAGGATAACTGTGTAAATAAAAGACATTTCAAAACACTATAAGCACCATCACTATATGAAGCCTAGTCTTATTCTTTTGATTTGTCTTTTTACAAACTGTTGACGGGTAGAATTCTCCAAAACTGGTATAACTCTGTGACAAATGGTAAACTGAATGATAGATTAGGCTTCACATTAATCAATTTTTAAATATCACTTTGGGTTTTCTAACAAGCTTGGTTCCTAAGAAATATATTAAAGTATTTCAATATTAAGCTGCTTTTGTTAACCATCATTGTTACACAATTCTATAAAACTAAATGATAAATTAATAGAAGTTGGTGTATAATTATAAGAAATATGGACATACAAGCCAAATATTTCTCCTTCTTCCAGAGTATCAGGCAGTATTTTCTTGTGGGTCTCAGGAAGCCATAAGACCATTAGACCACTAACAACAGACATGGTCCCAAACATGGCAAATGGAAGGTCCTTGTGTGTGGCTCTTCCCTGGAAAAGTTTAATAGGTAAATTAAAACTAGAATTAAAGCTAACATTACATTTAGCCTTAAAAAAAATCAAACGAAACATCAAGTTATAACGTTGATAAAAGTGTAATTTTTAAGCCAACTCCTACATATACCTTTCACAATCTGATAGCTCTGGTTTAGCCACTTAAACAGACTGAAAGAAAAAAGTGTTAATGTTTATCTTCTCTGAGTGGATTAATCAATGTTACTATGTATAATTCCTACTGAAGTATTTATAGTTATCATGTAGAAAGTACAGGATAACTTGAGATATTGACATGTTTGTATTTGTACCATGAACAAAATGCAGGATAACTTGACATAATTGAAATGTTCATATTTATATCATGTAGAAAATGGAGGACAGAAGCATAAGGTGATAGCTGAAAGTGTTTGTTTTCTAGTGCAACACGAAAGATAAAAAGTGTTTATGCTTATTTTTAACAACTTCATATACTGGTGTAACTTATCAAAAGTGATCTTCTCATTTACTACTTACCAACTCTTTGACGAAAGGAGCAATCATGGAACCAACACGAGCACAAGTAGAACTAGACCCTACACCAACATTCCGAACCACGGTCGGGAAGACCTCGGCAGAGAACACATAGATGATGCCAAATGAAGCAGTGATGCAAAATTTTCCAACCATGGCCAAAGTGATTCGTAACCATAATAGCTCTAAGAATGCATAAATAATGGTTAAATGCTACAACTTATGGTAGTAGCCACAGCAACATCTGAGAATTGTTATACTGAATACAATAAGATACAATTCACAGAATATTTCTATATATTTCTATGTAGTGGTCAACACATATGATAAAGCTTTTAGCCATCCAGTTTAGTAATGATATAAATCACAGTGGTCAGCAAATGTAGTAGAATACTAATGCTAATGGCTCAGTAATTGCATTAAGTTTAATTGTCAACAAATATAATAAAAGCTCATTTCTAATGATTTGCACTTTACACAAAAACTTCCGATAAGAAGTGATTATGATCCTTGTATTGCATAATTATTAAATATAAATTAAGTATTATACAAAAACATATCACAAATCACTACTCTAAATACAACTTGTGTTAGAATGCAAAACATATCACAAATCACTACTCTAAATACAACTTGTGTTAGAAAGCAAAACATATCAAAGTGTATTACATTCTAACCAAAAGTACTTGCTTAATCTTCTCAAGTAGGGATGTTAGCTTTAGATTAGAATTAAGATAGAGTCTGAAAGTATGCAACATGATCTTACAAGCATGTAACATTAAACAATTGAATAACAAGAATTCCTTTTATGTAATCCTCTATAATTGTTGTTCAATTTAAGATAAAGCTGTTGAAGGTTGTAATTGTAACTAATTATATCTTTCTATTTATCTCTAATCTAAACTACTAAAATTGAATTAATAACAACAGTACAAATTAATTGTTAATGAAAAGTGAGATTGAGCTTCTTACATAAGCAGATGTATAAGAAATCATAGCAGTAAAGGACAGAACGGTCACAACTGGCAGGTAGAAAATAAGTTATACCTAAGACATTAGAATTCACTGATATACATTGTCCTGGTGTTAAATCAGGTATATCAAACATAAGAACTCATTGACATGCACCATCTCAAGGGCAGAGATGAGTAAAAGTAGCACACCAAACATTATCCAGAGGGTAGAGACAGAAAAAGTACCATACCAAGTACATGAATATTTGTAGACACAGACATTTGTAATGTACCAAAGGTGAAATAAACATTTTGAAAGTAAAAAATAATGAAAATAGTGGATAAAATTCACGTTAGTGCTTATATTTTGACAATGGTTTGAGCCTAAGCCTTTTAACATGTATTGTCATGTGTAGACACTATTTAATGCCTACACCCAAAATTCATTTTACAGTACATCTATTGCTTTACTATTTTAGAAGTTTGTTTGATTTTTATAATAATTGAACATTTTGCTTTTTATTTAAAATAAACAGCCAAGCACTCATATTTGTAAAGAATCCTGGAAGAGAAGATGGAGATAAAACAAACACACCTTCAATCATGAACATATTCTATTATAAGGGTATTGTGTAGAAAACACTTCTGCACCATCAGACCTAAGTTGCCCTAGATGTAGGGTAAGGGAAAATAACAAATATTAAATGAGTTGTATGTCTTTCTGAAGAAAAGAAGCAATTTAAAAAATAACTTACATAGTTTCATATCAAAGTAATTTAGTTTTATTTTTGATACCAATAATTATTACCATGGGTAAATGGAATGGTCAAGAGGCAAGACAATCCTCCTGCTATCATCAGTGCCATCTGAGGAATTCTTCTCCCAAACCACTTGATAATACCAATAGCAAAGATGTAAGCAGGAAACTCTACTGCTCCAGCAATGAAAAAGTTTATAAAGGGGTCTCCCCCCAGATCATTGGTGTTCAGAGAAAGACCAAAATAGATGAATGAATTTACAAACCTGTAAAATACAAATTAAGTTCAAGACATGTAAAATAGCAAGACAATTCACATTAGAAATTTACTTTCACATATATACATTTCTGTATGTTACATACACAGTTTAATAAGTACCTATGGTGTTCAGAATAGATTAAAAACATCCAGTTTCCAACAAGAAATATAATCATACCAACAGAAAAACAAATTGAGACTTTTCCTCCGCATGCATGGTGTCTTGAGAAGGTCGAACACCGTGGCACGCTTCTTCTCTTGGTGCCCCTCTTCCTGTGAAAGTGGAATGAATGTTTGGGTATTTTTTTTCTTAATCAAACTCTCATTAATGTGTAGCTTGCCAACCTCAATCGTGGCTGTGGTCAGACCACGTGGGAAAAATGCTGTGGAAGAAGTAAGCTAAGACTTTGATGTGAATGCATCTCTTTATAAAACATGTTAAATTAGATGTAACAATCTTCTTTTAGTAAAACTTTAGGCAGAGTAAGATGCAATGGACAGGACATTAATAGACTGCATCCACCTGTTGATTTAAGTTAGCAGTTTAAAATGGCTACAATCAACAGGCAGATACAGTAAATCCACAGCAAGTTAGTGAGTGACTCCTTAAACTTTAAATGTAATTCATCATTAGCCTTGGCAATAATTTCAAAATCATCTAATGCACGTTGGATAATGCTTGACTCCTTTTGCAATCTTAAATCTAGGTGTTATTTAATTCTAGATTCTAATGTTCTCATTTTAGAACCTATACACCTAAAGTTACATCTTGGACATCTAAACTGATAAAAATTATTATATTTCAGCAATTTTTGTCTTTCATCTTTTACTTGAAAGATATTTTTATTTCTACATATCAGTTTTAACATAAAGATTAGATATATTTGCATTAGCAACAAATTATTTGTGTGTAACATGTGATCAAACTGGTGTAAAAATACAAAATAAGACCAAATTTTTACAATGCATTCTAACATGAAATTTCTCCCGAAAAAGCAATGCATCCAAATAAAAATCTCTCCGTGATGAAGTCATAAACTGAAGTGCAGAAACTTTGTAATTCAAGTAAGAAATGTGACAAGCTACACAAGGTTAAAATAAAGAACAGTAAAACTGTGATCCACTAAATCAAAAGACTGAACACCAAAAAGGTTATGACATTTTTCAACTGTAAATGCATATGAAAATAAACACCAAATACTTTTGGTAAGTATCTGTAACATATCAGCACATTTTTTCATGACACTAAACTTCCATTATGATCAAAGCTAATTTTAGGGAACTTAAAATAGCCGCAAAACTATGTTGCCCTTAAAAGAGATGCAAGTCCTTTTACTAGAAAAACTGTTCAGTTTTTAGAAAGGAAATAGTATTTAATTTATATTCCACTAACATCTGACTTTAAATGCAAATGAATGAATTGTCTAACCAGCTCAAAATTCCAAAAAAATAGTTTAATAGAATTTATTCATGCCTTACCATTTCCAGATGTGATGCTAACACATTAATTGACTGTTTAATCTTTCTCACTATCAAAAATTATAAAAGAAAACCTTATCACTATGTGTCAGTAAATAATATTAAAAATATAATGACACATAATGAAACCCACTACGAAAATAAAAAGCTGATTAATTTAACTTGAATCATATTAAACATTCATGTGGTGTCAGTAGCATGAAATCACACACACTTTGGTAGTGTGGAAAACTTTTATTTCACTATAAAAATTGTCATGCATTGAAAACACCCAAAAACAAACATTTCAAGTTACGATATTATTTTAACAATGAAGGATGTTCCTAAGAAAGCATAATAGCATTTAACACGAGTACAAGTGATCATAATATAAGTTTCATGTAGTAAATATTTAAAACACTGCTGTCCAGAAACAAAATTTTTTATAGTACACATCAATCTCAAGAATTCACTTCTTTTACACTAACAAGAAATCTAATATAAGAAAATTACATTTGATTTTCATTAAAACAATCTAACCAATCACAAAAATCATCTCAGCAAAATGTTCTTATCTTTTTTTGATTAGTTCTGTCACAAGTTTTCAACATTTAGTGTTATCTTTTGTTCACTCCTACTCATATTTGTATATATATATATATATATGTATGTATGTATGTGTGTATGTATGTGTGTGTGTGT